CTCAAACTCCTGGAAACGAAGCCTTTCCTGTGCTGCGCGCCCGGCTGACGGGGAGCGGGATGGAGCCCCAGCTCCACCCATGGAAACCCTCCGGGACGCGAGGGCAGGTGCCTGCGCTGCCCTGAGGAGAAGCCTCTTTCTCCCAGCACCCAGCAGGCCTGGCGGGCGGCTGCCCCGAGGGGAGATGCGTTTAAAGCTGTTCGTTAATGAGCAGTAAAAAAAGCTCCGGCTGTGCCGGAGGAGCGGAGCCGTGGAGCCCCGGGCAGGGCAACTGCGATAAGGGACAACGGGGAGCACGGCACCATGGTGCCCGAGAGCCTCTTTTCGGCCCCGATGAACGGGCATCGGCTGGGAAGAAGCTCGGTTGTGCTCCCGCGTAGGTCAGTGGCTGGTGGCTTATCTTTTCTCTTTTGTAGCACAGCAGAGCAGACTGTTAAAGCAAGGGGTGCTGTCGGAGCCACGGGAGAAGCCAGCCACCATCTCGCCGAGAGGCACAGTCGCTCCCTGACCTCCTGCAACATATCTTCGCCCCTGCACTGCTATCCTTGTCTAGGCAGTACCAGGAAAATCCGGGGTTTCAGGCTTGATTCGTTATCTACCTGCCATCTCTTTGCAATGATAAGCGGAGGAGCACACCTCCCAGCTTCCTCAGAGGGAGATTCGTTTTCTCAGCACAGTGTTACTTTGAGCCATCAGCCATGAGCTGCTACCAGCTTTGCTAATACTTGCCTGTATTTAGCTGGGAAACTGGCCCAGAAATAGACTTGTAGGTGCAGTGTGAAGCCCTTCAGCTTTCTCCCTTGCACCCCTTCACATACTCATCACTGCAGCCTGCTGCAAACAGCCTTCCCTGTTTGGTCTGGTCCCATTGCTCCCACTGTCAGGGCAAGCTCTGCTCCAGGCAACATGAGTTTCTCTTTACAAGATGCTGGACAGCAAATGTGTCTCATTTGTTGTGTCCAGTCCGTTTTCCCAAGGAGGGATAAAAACCTGAAGCTCAGCTCATGCAGAGCCAAGATCTGAAAGATGACTTGGAGCCATCTCCTGCCCCTCAGCCCGCATCACAGCCCTGCGCTTGTCAGTCCAGAGGAGCTGGGCACGAGCCCGGAGACGGCTTCTGCGCCCAGTGCAAGTGCAGCCTGGACGTGGTGCACACACCCAGGCATCAACAGGAGAGATCCTCGCTGATCCTTGGGATGTGTCTGTGTTTTCCTCCTTAGGCATTTGATAAAACCGTTGCGAAGGACAACTCCCTAGCTGTTGGCTACTTTCAGAGAGGCTTTGTCCGTCTGCAGCTGGAAATGTAAGTGAGGCGCGTGTCCGTTTCCATCTTTGGTTTTCTCCTTTTAGTCATACTTTATTCCTAAACCTAAATGATTCTATGATTCTATGATTCTAAAATTGATTCTAAATTTCTAAAAATGATTTCTAAAAATTCTAAAAATGATTCTATGATTCTAAAATTCTATGATTCTAAAATTCACTTCTTCCAGCAATCTTAAACAGATTAAGGTCCAGCTTGGCCTTGTAAACTGTGTCACAGGTCAGCAAGTCTTATCTCTGATAAGACTGAGATGATACGAGCTGCACAACTCCAGGGCCCCAGGGGTGGCTGATATATGACATGACTGTCCCATACACACAGAGAAAGAAGCTGCTCCTGTACACGGGGCTGCCAGGAGGTTATGTTGCCATTCAGATTTTCTTTGAGAATGAAAAAAATAGTTGCGCCGCTTGGTCTGTCTCCGCATGGTGCACGTTGAGTCTGGCCTTCCTAAAAATGCAGTCTGCCCACAGTGTCTGACTCTCACTCTCTGCTGACAGCGGATTTTGTGGGCCTGATCTCAATCTCACTGATTTAATGTTGGGATTGCTCCACTAGTGTCGTGGGATCGATTACTCATTGTTTCCAGGGTTAAATCGCAGTTGCGTCCTGCTCGCAGAGGTGGGTGGAAGGTTTTACAGGTCCTTTCTTACCTCTGAAGCTCAGTTATTCTCTTTCCTGTCACATTTTCCCCATATTTTCCAGACCTTAATTTCCACAAAATGACTATCTTTATTTCTGGGAGGGAGTTCAAGTGAGCAGTTCTGCACTCACAGGTGTGAGTAGCTACACGCTCTGTGCCTCTGCAGCAGAGCTGTAGTCAGGGCCGGCGGAGCCCCGGCCGGCATGCTGCGGCTGCTCCGCTCTGCTCCCAGCGCTGCGCCACAGCCGGCAGAAGTGGAGCGAGCCTGCCTCGAGCACGCACGCTGTGCAGTGGGTCAGGAGCATCTCGGCTGGCGGAGCTGCCCCCCGCCCGAGGAGATGACGGCCACTAGCGCCCCGTGGCTCCTTCCCTCATCAGATGCTGCTCCCACCCACCCACATCCACCCGGGCACCTCTTGGCCGTGCTTGCTGGTCGGGTGACCCTTCCTGGACCCGTCACTTCACCACCTGCAGCCTCAGTGGGAACCTGTTTTGATTTCAGTTGCATAGCTGGTGTAAATTCAGACTAACTCCCTTATCCTTAGAGTTTCTCTAAGTCTCTGCTCACATTGCTCTGACCATGCATGTATGCTCGTCGTCGGCAGGGTTTCCCAGCCCTTCCTTCTCCCCTGAGACGTCTGCTGGGACAAAACTGCCAGCAGCAAGCTGGGCAAGGAGCTCACAGCATTTGTTAATCTCTGTTCTTTACATTTTCTCCTTGGAACTGTGACTGTTTCAGGTATCAAAACCTACTGTTCATCCCAATCAGTAAAACTGCGCAGATAATCCCAGACACACTGTGTTCATTTTATTCTAACTACCAACAAGGAGAGGATGGGGAATTTTCTGTGGTCGCAAGATGACATACATCTCCGGGGCAGCTCTCCTCATCCAGGCTACAGAGAAGAATACATTTTTTCACTAGCTTGATTTTTGAACTTCTTAATTACAGTCTTCAGCTTTTTTACTCTCAGTTTCTGCTGTTATTCTGTCCACATTGTAGGTACGAAGAAGCTCTCTCTGACTATCATATGGCCTTCAGTCATCTGAGACAAAATCCCTTCATCGATTACAAGCAGCTGGGGCTGAGGCACATACTCTACGCCTGGGAGGTAAGAGTCGGCCTGTCCCAGCAGTCCGTCCCTTCTCTTGGGGGTGTTCCTCAGGTGTTCAGCAGTAGGCATTAGTAACCCAAGAGCTTTTCAAGACAGTACATTAGAACAGTAAAAACTTTCTGCTTGCACTTTTTTTTATAGGAACTTAATCGTGAAAGTCATAAAACAATGTTGTCTCTGAAGAGTTTAGCAAATTACGCAGTTTGAAAAGTAAAGCTGTTCAGAGCCGATGCACAGGAATTTGTGTATTGGGGTCTTGTAGCTTACCTATGCATGTAATATTTATGCTTACATGCATGTAAATATGCATGTACGTTTTGTGAACTCCTCAGCTCTAAAAGCTGAAATAGATTGAAGTATAGACAGATGGGAACAAAACTGGTCCGTAATGAAGACTCTAAGAAACTTCTGTGCCTGAAAGCCTGTCTTTCCAACTGTAGCAACTGGTCTAGCATTACTCTGTGTTTTACCTTGCACACCGGGCTGCAAGCTGAGTTCTGCTTCTGTAACGCTTCACTCTGCAGCTCTTACACTGTAGATGCTTTCAGCCTGCCACATCCTGTTAAGAAAGATCTAAGTCTGAATTGATTGTCAATGTTTGTAATATTTGGAATGTAAAAGACGCCTAGAAACTGTACTTTACTGTGAGGGTTCATTTTCTCTTCTGTCCTGAGTCCACACACACAGACCAAAAAGCAGATACAAGAAAGAATATTTAATTCTTTACTTCCGTGAGAGTGAAGAGTCATTGTGTAACTCAAGTCAAGCGTGCCCAGAAACCTGTCCTTCAGTCTCGGTCAATTTTCGTGCACCTTATACCTGGCAGGAAGAAGCTATCCTTGGAATCCATGGTATTACCCAAACCTCATTGTTTTTAACAGTTTCAGTGCCACAGCAGTGCCTTTGCTAAGCTCGCACACACTTAGAAGCAATAGGTTCCCTTTGAAAGGTGCAGGGGTGCGGCGAGGGCATCGGAGGAGGTTGGTATCCTTTCTGGTGTGAGCACGCAGGCCCTCGCTCCACGTGCTCTAGGCATTGCCGGGACATGTGTGCGCACTGTGCTGGCACTCCGGACTCAGGATCTGCATCCTGATTCGACTGTATCTCACTCTTACATCTACCTGCAGCTCATTTTTCAAAATACACAAACATAATCCTCCTGAAGAGCTGTGCCATCGGCTTTTCCCATGCATGGCCTCTCACATGCTGCATCTGATCTTCTCAAGGGGAGGAGCTGTGCCATATGGTTTGAAAACGCAGAAATATTTGTCTCTTGCGAGGCTATAGCACTTCTGAGCTGAGGGAGAACTGCTGCCTTGCCTCTCCAAGAGGCATCTCTGCAGTTCCTGTAGATGTTCAGGGCGGCCGTTCCCACCACCCCCCCAAACAGCAGGCTTCTACTGTCACGATTAAGGAATGAAGGAAAAGCATCCTATTAGCTGCACCTCTGTCCCAAGCCCTGCTTGCACCCAGATACCACAAAGCCATCTACAAGCTGATAACCCTGTCATAGGAGATAGCGACGTATCTGACAGGGCGTCTGTTATGCCACACTTCTGCCTTGTAGGCCAGCAGCTTTTCCATACACTGACTGTGGGCCAGGGACAAGAAGAGGTCTCCCGCTCTAAATTCAGCATACAGATCAAGGCTTCCCAACACCCAGCCTGCAATACTCCCACACTTTGCCACTTCACCATGGAACATACTTACATGCTGCTAAAGGGGAACAAGCTACAGCTGACAGTTTGCACATTCACAGCCCACTACAATGTGAAATAGCTTCAGTTAAGTTATTTTGCAGTGAAAGGGAGTCAGAATTACTCTGCACAGCAAAAAATATTACCTAGTTGCATACAGGGAAAAAAAACCCCATGCAACTTGCCAAAAAAATCCTTACGGGCCTTTCAGGTGCAGGAAGGATAAGATTAAAACTTATGTGGTACATCTGGTGTTCCCCATGGCTCTCCTTGCCTTGAGCAGAGCTAGCAGCTCTAGCCCACCAGGAGCTAGCCTGGAGGTACAGCTTTGATCTCTTTGCACTCTGATGATTAAGTTTTTTCAGCTGTGCTGCTCAGAGCACCTTTCCTGTGGCCAGTGGGGAGTAGACTGCTGCTGCTGCTGCACCCCTGGCGTTTCAGTGCCTGGTCCCTGTTTCTTGGCTGAGTTCAGTAGGTGGCGTTGGGTGTCTGCTCAGGCTCAGCCCTCTGAGTTCTGCTCCCGCCTTGCCCGCTCCAGGTGCTGTACAGCACTGCAGCAGTGCAGTGCCGGCTGCAGCAGTGGCAGGAGGCCAGGGTCACCCTAGACAAGGCCGTTGTATGGAGACCTGAAGGAAGAACAGCGATCCTGGACCTGGCCCGTCAGCGGGTGCAGGTAAGGCCACCTCCATGAGTTCCTGGGTACGTGCATTGGGCTTAAGTTAAGAAATAGGAGATGAGAATGTGGTAATTGTTGTATGCTTGGGGTTTCCTGTCTACCCACCTGCTTGGTGACCTGGTAACGGAGTCTGAGCCATTTGCATGCGATGCTCTACCAAACTAGTGCTTCAGCTAATCACCTAACTCTGTCACCCCTAGGTGCTTCATAGCACACAAACACCATGGTGGAGAATTATGGGATAACTTCTCAGGGTGGGGAGTTTACTTTCTAGTCCCTGCTGTTCAGGAGCTTAATTCTGTTTGTACTTGTACTGTAAAACAAGTTGCCTTATGCAGTGTTGAAGTGCAGAACAAGTGCAGGTTTGGAGGGTCTCCCTTTTCATGACACTGGCTGACTTTTTTGAGTCCCTTTGGCCTCAGTGACAATTGGTGCCAGCTCAGGTAATTAATGCCAATCACGTTTAGAGCTTAAGTAGAGCACGAAAGTGTTTCCAGGGTTGGTTCTAAACAATAGTTTCTTGTTAGACTCTTTTATGACCAGGAACAACTTGCAGATCTCTGATTCACTCTTCCTGGAGGGTTCATTATTTTGCTACCTCCATACTTCTTTATCTTATTTGTATCCTTTCTAAGGGATGATTGCTTCTTTTTTTTTAATGCGATCATCTCTTCTAGCATCATGTTTGTGCTTTACATTAGTGTATTATTTATATTTGCTATTAGCATGCTACTCAGTGGTTGAACAGAGGAGAAAAAAGCATTTGAAGTCAAATTGAAAAAGTGCTTAGAGATTTGTTTAATAAACTTTACTCCACTGCCCTCCCTTCCCATGCCAACAGTCAGTCTTTGTCTCAGCACTGGGTAGTGGCTGATGAGCTCCTAGTTTGCATGTTCTTGTTAAACCTGAGTGACCTTTTTCAAGTTCACAGCCATAATTTTTGCCCCAGTGTCTTCCTGGAGCTGCTCATGCACACAAAGGGAAGCTATACTTTCTTTTCACTGCTGTTATATTTAATTTAATATTAACTGATGGCTTTTTCCCTTATCTGCTTTCCATGCCCTAGGACCGTCTGTTTTTAGAGCCCATGCAGGTTCCTCTCGGGGAATTTTTCAGACCACGAAAGAAGGAAGTTGAGCAGCTGGATACAAAAGATTTCCTGGGTAAACCCAAGGTAACAGGCAGGTGATCGTTACGATTAACAGCAAGCAGATTAAAATTCCACCTTCTGACATCTCCAGAGAGCATTACTGTTGGCCTCTCCACTGGTGGAGACCAAGAGCAGGATTGTCAGGGCTTGCAGCCATCCAAGGCATCTGGGACCCAGAAGCCGAAATTTGTAAGAATTGCCACCTCTTCTATCAAAACTGCACTTTGGTGCTAAAAAAACCTTCCCAATCTTGGTCACTTTAAACTCTGAAAAAGCTGAGCAGGTACTTAGGGAACCCCGTGGTCATCCTTTTGCTGACGACGACATTTTCAAGAGGAGCACATTCCTCCAGTGCACTCCTACTCACTGCTGCATTCCTGGTGGGACAGGCAGGCGCTTAGAAGACAAATGCTTTGTCACATCCTTTAACGCGAGTCAGCAGAGAATTTCTCTGATCCCTTCTGTGACCAGTGCAGTCAGCAGAAGTGCCACAGGCCAGAGAGCTCTGACACGAATAAAGGGAAGAGAAAGTAATTCACTCACTTGTAAAGAAACCTTGGAAAGACTAAAAACACAGGGACAACAACAGTTGAAGCTGTTTTGGGAATCCAGCTCTGCTTTTACCACTACGTGCATGACTCTGCTTTGTGTCTGACTTTAGGATGTCAGAAGGTCTGAGTAGATAGCCCTGCATGAAGTTTGAGAGTCGTCATCCAGCCCGGATTCAGTCATTACTTTGTCCTCTGACAGGTGATCTCGTCCATCATTCCCAATGATGAGTACATCGGCTTCGAGCCTCTCAGGCCTCAGGTGAGCAGGACATAGCTGTGAAAGGAGGAATGGAGCTGTCATGGGGCTCCAGGCAGGGCCTCAGATCCTGACACTGTCAGGGTAAGAACATATTATTGAAAAAAACAGTGCAATATCAGACTAGATCCACAGGGCCCTTCAAAGCCAGGCGGTGGCTTCAGCGCTGACTGGAAGGGACTCAGCAATGTGAGTTTCCAGCCCTTTGAAGATGCATCTTTGTCTCTTTGCCATGGCAGAACAGCAGTGGAGACTTTGCTATGTTCACCAGGCGTTTGCTCAGCACTTTAGTAAATTTGTCAGCATACGTATGGCTGGCTTGCACTGTCAGATGAGACCCTTAGAAGTAAGGGTAGGGGAAAAGATTTTGTTACTCGCCTCCTGATGGGATGAAGAGGGAGGGGGAGAAATAGAAGGTACATCCTGGTAAGATGTGGAGCAGCAGACTTCTATCTGGGTGCTGTGGTGTGACAAATGTGGTCAAAAGCAAAGGCAAAATACCACAGTGTGGTATTCAGAGGGACGGTAAACAAGGCGGCACTGTTGCTATATAAGGTAGTTACAAATAGATGCTGTTGTTCCCCCCACAGAAGCAGGGCTTTTATGAACCCAGTGTTGACGCTTTGCGGTAAGTGTTCCGTTCTACCCTGCTCTAACTCTTCTCTCGCTATTTCCATTCAGAAGGTCATGTTTTGTTCTCTGATGTCTTTGTCTGAGGACTCTGGGGGATCCACACCCACTTCTCACCGAGGGCGGAGTGAATAGCAAACGTGCAAAGGCTTGTGTGGTTGGAAACGATGCTGCAGTTCAGTAGCACCTCTCATGCAAGAATCTCAGGGCAGTTTGCAGGAGTTGATTCAATAGTCTCGGGAGGCAGGCATGGATCGTGCCAGGCCTCGGGAATGGAAGCAGGTTGTGGGACCCACCCGGGTCCATGGCAGAGGATGCTCAGCTGTCCCATTCTAGTTCCCAGGACAAGGCCTCCAAATACTCCCAGCCATGCTGTGTTGAGTCAAATTCAGCCCTGGTTCAAAAAACATGAGTGTCATTTATTCTGGTGATATTGTACCAACAGTACTTCAGGGCTGACTTTAATAATTGTTTTGATATGGAGGATGTTTATTAGTATAATGAAAATAGGGCAGTTGTGTTTGGGAAATCAGTGTTTTCCAACCTCCTTTTGTTCTCAGTTGGACCAAAGAGTAGCAATGGAAATCGTAACTTCCCAACACCCGAAATTTTTGGCACATGCCAGTTTGGATTGGTGCAGTGTTCTGGATCAAAGCCATCCCGCGCCAGAGCCCCAGGGTTAGTAAAGGTGCTCTCATTTTTTCTTTCCAGAGACAGTGAGTCAGGCTACTACCGAGTTGTGTCCCATTATAACCCTGAGGACTCGGAGAAGTTAGCAGTGAAAGCCAGCAGTTTGGTCTTTGTGCTGACGAGAGGAGCGGATGGCTGGGCTACAGCCATACATGACGGGCAGGTAAGGAAAACGGGTGGGCTTGCCAGCCCGCCCCCCAGCAGAGACCACAGCCCTGCCTGTGCGCAGGAGCTTGCCGCATTCCTTGGGGACCCGCCTGTAGCACTGCAGAACAGAGGATGAGTTCAGGAGCTCGTTTCCACAGACTGGTTGCTAACTATGGATTTCTCTGACGCTTGGCTCCCACCAGCTTCTGCCATTCACCTCTGTAGCTCCGCAAGGGCATCTTTTTGGGCACTTGTGCTCTCTGCCATACAGGATCCTATTGTGGGATTGTGTAGGGTAACAGACCTCAGCAAGGACCACCATTTAGAGCAGTATTTGTCACCCAAGAGCTCTAATGGAGCCGAGGAGACAGGCTGGTCCTTACCTGGTGTGTAGGGCCTCTGTTAAATTAACTTTGGGAAGGTTTGGGCAGGGTTTCAGCTGTGCAGGCAGGTTTTATGAAGGGCTCTAGAGAAGACCTAAGGAATTAAAGCCCAGCAAATCTGACATCTTTCTGCAGACTAGGGAACTATAGTGTGAACAGATTGAATAGAAACAGATAAATATGACAACATGGAAAATCTTTTGTTGGCAGAAACCATTTATCACGTCTACTTAAGTTCTTTGAAAGAGCCAGTGCATACCTGGGTTAGGTTGAGCCAGTGAACGTATTGCCTGCCTGTGTTTCCAAAAAAAGTCAAAAGATTCTTCACAAGACCACTAAAAAAAGTGAGCTGTTTGAGCAAGAGAGGCAGTGCTCTGAGGACTGATAACAGGTTAAAATACAGAAATAAAGGGTGGGCATAAATGAACAGGTTTTTTTCTTTCTTTTTTTTAAAGAAGGGATGTCCCCACAGAGCATCTGCTGTAACATAAGCATTTAGCATATTCCAGAGTGATATAGTAGTAGGAATAGTGATGTAGTGCTTCTTACGGTGTTCAATCAAACCATTACGTGACGGACAATCAAACCGTTCAGCATAGCCTGAAGCATCTGGAGCTAGCAGTGAACGATTACAGAAGTATTTGAATGTGCTGGCTGACTGCTCATTGAAGTGTCAGATGAAATTCAAAGTAAAAAAAAAGTAAAGTAATAGACACTGGGGGGGGGGGGGA